AATGATTTATAAAGTGCGACAGATGGTCGCTGTACCTTCTCTACACTGTGAATGTAAACCTACCCATTGATTGTGGAATATGTATAAGGAAAAGAGATTGATCCTCCCAGTTAATGGATAAAAGAGCCTCCAACTCTATACGAATTTGACAGATGACATCTCTACACTGAGAAACTACTGACTTCGCTTTTAACGAAAGACGAAAAAATGTTTAATAAAACATTTTGATGTTATTGATGTCTTGTTGTGGGAGGTGGTGGAATAATGGTCACTTTTTCCAGATCTTTTTCGCAGTGGTATATTTTTTTCTTCGTCATCATGTTTTTAGACCGCACCCTAGAGTTGGGTTTGTAAGATTTGATATCTTGCGAGTTAGAGTTTTTTTTTTTTGAGCAAGAACAGCTGAAACATTCGGAATAAGCCGATTTATGAAACATGTCAACACTCTTAATTCATACTGGTAAGAGTTAATGTTGAATTAGGAAAACCACTTTATCTTCTAGAGGAGTTCTAATTGCAGCACCTTGCTCTGATGTGCACAAAAATCCCTATTTATCAAGAAATTTCACATAGCTTTAATGAACCATGTGATTGTGCTGTATTAAAACCTGTTATTGAAATGGTATTAGTGTACCAGTGCGTCCAAACCATCCAGAATCTTCAACTGTTTCCCATCACCATTTCACTTCGAAATTTTCATCGCTAGATATAATAAAGCTTTTAGACCCAGAATTGCTATAGTGGGGAGCCACAAAGAAGAAACGGTAGAGCTTTTCAAGCCAACTTGCATTTAACCTCAGTTCGAATAACCTTCGTATTGTGTATTTCCATTATTTAGCTATCTTGCGGTTGTCATAAAAAGGTTTAATCGGCTGAGGCAAGTCGGCGCCTTTGTTTTCTTCGGGACCGCGATGATTCGAGTCGATTGTCCGTAGCCGTTCGTCCTTGGGATGTGGTTTCTCGTTGTCACATCGAATGGAATCCAATAAAATGGAGCAGCGCTCGAATGGACTTTCCTTACTTTTCGCGGCTCTTATATACGGGATGGTTCTTGACTGATTTCCAGTAATAACAATTTACAAAGATCCACATCGAATAAATGAATGGCAGTGGAAAATTGATCATTTCGGCTCTAATAAAGACGAAAGCGCCGAGATGTTACCCGAAAAAAGTCTCGAATAAGCTTGTGCTAGCTTATAAAAACTAAAAGGATAAAGCTTTTGACATTAATCAATCCCTGAGGAATGCGTCATGCATTCGTCTTCAATTTTTAACTTCGTTTATGGTGATAGAATGCATATGTGGTCTTTAAAATGACTCGCGGTGGTCCCTTGCTGTACCGAGTCAGTGGTGCTTATTTTCCTGGACAAGTCTGGGACCACCTTGGTACCAATTTACAACCCCGGGGGATGAATGGCTTGGTGAGCCATGAGCGCGAGATCGAACCATCGACCTTGTGTGTGACGCAGAGCATCTCTGACCACTGTACCACATGCGCCCGCTAGTTACCTTATTAGTAGAGTAAAAAAGCGGTGGAATGTTCACATGTTCACCATAGAGAAAAATTCTTTATTGGCAATGGCAGATTTCTATAACAAACAGCATGACAGTGTGTTTTTCTTATATCTAAATGGTTTTCTGACGCTTTCAAAGCTGCGTATACTCCATAGAAAAAAATCTCGTGTAGATGGGAAAACAGAAGAGATAAATAAAAGAAAATGGAAGGCACTTGACTCCATATTTGGCTTTTTCGAACTATCTCAGCGAGTCTCGGTCATTAGCCAACTAAATAGACGAATATTTTGCAGTCATTGAAGTGATCGAAAGTATGTGATGTTTATGAGATGGATTCACAATGTTCAGTGAGAGAAGATGTATCACACATATTTTATGATTGATAAGATTATGCTGATCTTCAAGTTCGAGAAAAGCTTCACTGAACACTTGGTTCAACTAATAATTCAACTAATCACAGTCTCTGTAAACAACGAGTTTCAATTTAATTGCTTTAAATCAATCTCTTGTTGATAAGTACTTCTTGCGTGGGTATCATCATGTCGTGTATTATGAAGTAAGGATAGAGTAAAGTAGAAAAGTCATAATCGAAGAAAAGGGATATCTATTAATAAATGGATTGCTAAGTAGCTACTCTTGCTATGATTGATCGATATCCCAGATGACCTTTCGTTTTTCCTATTCTTATCATCACAAACAAATTGCAGTAATCGCATGACTGGAGTGCTTACAAAAGGCTGCATGTTTGGCTTCGAGTGTGGAATTGAACGAAATGGGCTCGTCATTGAATGAAGCAATCGAAATGTCTTGGACTTGAGTACTATCTGATATGTAAACAGTGAAAACAACCGTTGATTACTCACTGTTTTATCAACGAGCAACCACAAGATTGTTATTAGGCCATTTATTCATTTGTAATACCTGACGTTTCAGCGGTTTCGCCTTATTCAGATCCTCAAAAGGTCAGATTGGCACGTCGTAGGCTGCTGAGTCAAACACTTTCATAGTCTAAGCAGAAAGAAAAAATCAGCTAATTAACGCCTGCCTTTTTGTTTTTTGAACACAGTCAGCCACATTTCTCACCTACGTAAGCTCTTTACTGTATTGAGTTTATTTGCTTATGTTACGAAAAAGTTTGGCTTGGTAGATTGCTTGCCATCTTCACCTTTTCTAAGTTTTGAAAGATGAAGACGTCGAAATATCAACCAGTTACTGAATAAATCTTGTTATTAACACTCTTATGTCTGCTCGTCAAATGAAAAGCATATTTTGAGGTGATTGAATGCATGGCTGACCTTTACATTGACTCGGGGTGGCCAATCGATCTATCAACTCAGTGAGACTACCCTCTTAGACATTTATGGTACCTAATTAGCGTTCCGCAAGAAAGGCTCAGTGAATCTAGGAGGTGGGAGTGAACTAACGAGCATGTGTGTATTGCACAGTTTCTTCAAACACTGCTCCACGCGCGCCTAGTTATCAAAAAATAGTAAAGTAATGATGAATACCAAAGCTAGTAGGAAGTCGGCTTTGGAATTTGCAAATGTTGATTGACTTTAGAATACGAAACGGATAATAGTAAAGTTTATACGAGAAACAAGCAGTGTCGTCGCGCGTATATGACAGGTCTAAGCGTAAACTATTCCCATTTAACCGGTTTTAATGGAGTCAACGCGTCTATTAAAGTTATTCTTCTGCGATTCGTTACTTTGATGATTCTAATAGACAGCGCTGTCTGTACACATAGAATTATGAATGTCTCAGCAGACGTTATATCATGGCCTTCCTGTTGACACACATGATGATGGTTGCGAGTCACCCACGCCGACAAGCCGCCAACCAAGCATTGATGACGTTATCACTACGCCTAGTCATACCATTAATTCTAGTAGTTTTTCGTACATGCACGATCTTCCACCTCATTACACATAAAGGCAAGAGTTTATTTTCTGCTGTATAGAAAATTAGAACTTTTTTGTTCTTCAAGTTGATACTATAAGGTTTTAATTCTCAAATAGATACAAATTACGTGATGTAATATTGCCAAAGCTTCAAAAATATTCGAGAGCCAAGCAGTACGAATGATCATTCGTAATCATCAAGAGACTGTCTATGAACCATTCTATGATGTACGGTTAGAATCTTCCGGAATTTTCAGGTTCTATTCGAGTTGATCATCTACGGCTTAGTGCTTCACCTTAGTGGAAATTGGCACACGATCTGGGAGTTCATAAAAATAGGAAATCATCCGAATATCTTTATAACTATTCCGTGAAAACCGCACTGGTTGGTTATGAAGACGGATCATCCTTGTGTGTAAACGGTGATTGCTTTTTCAACGACAACTTCAAAGATAGAACATGGCTGAGCGCAAAGCAGAAGCTTTTTGTCGGCGCAGTGGGTAGGTGACACTTAAACTGCTTGACAGTGTTCTCGTGGTTTCGAAATTTGACAAGATTGACAATTTCTCTTATCTCAGCACTCTTGCGACTGCAGATGCAAGGTCTTTTACAACTTCTTCTTGTAAGACAAACAAGTGAACTACTCATGAACAACTCTACGCTCGTTCACCACATATTTAGTTGCCGTTTGAATAAAGCTAAATAGCGATACTTTCAAGGTGTCGTCTTATCATTTATTTGTATCTCACAACGTAACGAGTGTTCTTCAGTCGTGGCGTTTTAACAACCACATCTGGAAGAACAGACTTATGAATGTTTTCGCTCTTCAATGGTTATCAACTTTCATGACTCATCTCATGCCAGCATCCGCTGACCTCTCATAACAGTTTCAGATATGTCATAAATAAACTGCAGTCCACTACAAACCGGCCGCCATTGAAAATCAAGCAGAATTCGTGGCGGAAGTCAAAATCCCATCGATCGAAAATAATATTGCAGAAAATAATCAAAATAGATCCTTTCAATATTAATTGAGCCAACTTGAGTTGATCTATTAATGATGAAATAATGAAATAAAGAATGAATTAATGAAAGAATCTATTGAAATTTGAGCTTGGTCTTAATGGAGCACTCGAAATAAAGGTTTAATAATCAAAATTATGAAAAACTAGACCACAAAAATCAAGTGTGTTGCCTGACCACTGAACGCCTACAGTATCATTACCAAACTCGTTGTTATTTCCTTTTCTTCCATTTCTTTCCTTTCCCCTACCATATTTTATTCAGTCTCTTCGACAATGATAAGAAGAGATCTCTCATTTCATTCACACCCTTTGCTGTTTTCATATGTACTCTTAATAATCGGATCACTTGAATATGGAGCGTACATCATCGCACTTCTACACAGCTCAAGTCCATACAAATGAAAAACTTATCAGTAACTGACTGAAATTTATTTTCAATTGCTACGAGAAATTGTATTCACTACGTACGATCAGTGAATACAAAAAAAAAATTGAAAGCGTCAAGTCTACTTCTCATAACTCACAAATATCTAATAAAATTAAGTAGCGAGCAAAAATGCAGCCTCAGACGGGAGTCGAACCCACGTTTTATCCATATCGGGGACGCGTGCTACCACTACACCACAGAGCTACACTCGCCCGATCACACTTTTTCTATATCTCTATGATAGCTCTCAGCCACCAACCTTCAACAGGTTTTGTATCAGAGAGATATTGAAGAATGAGTAGGGGAGCGAGTGTACCTCTGTGGTGTAGTGGTAGCTCGCGTCACCGATATGTATGAAATACGGGTTCGACTCCCGTCTCAAGTCTGGTTTAGTTCACCACTCAACACTCTTAGGTATATATCAAACAGCACAACACTGCGAAAAAGGCAGTAAAGACACTAAAATGTTCGAGTGTAACTCGCAAAATTGTAGCAAAAGTTGACACCAGTGTCTGTGGATGGCGGACCAGTTTCACATGCGAAGGAGTTGGTTATGTTCCGAATGTAGAGGAAGCTTGATTAAGGTATGCATAAAATCCGCAGAGTCCCAAAATTCACATAGATGAGCGAAAAAGAAATCAATGCAATGCCATTTGAGAAGACGAAGTGTTATCGTTTGATACACCGTGAAGATCCCAGCGTTTTTAAATCCGATAGCCTCCCTCCACCTGTCATCCACAGTGGTCTTTGGTGCTTTTTTTTCTGCACGGTTTCGCATGGTGTGGTGTTTTCGTTTCCATTACAAAAGTCGTTGAAAGTTGGTCAGGTCATACTCTGTAGATTCTTTTGAGCATTCTCACGTAGACTGCGCGGATTAACCTTGTCCACACAATTTCCTAACTTGGTGAGTTGAGAATTGTAGTGACCCAGTGGGGATACGATCCCAGTCCACACAGGTTGAGCGTTCTTTGTATTAAATGAATCACACGACAACCAATTATGCATAAGTTGGCTCACTGAACACATATTCCATAACAATACCTTCACTGAAACATATTTCATGGTCTATAGAGTCTAACAGCGTACAAATTTATATTAGCACACGCATTCGCAAAAGCATGGATTTCAGTGAGGTTGAAAGCAATCTCTGTTACCAGCAATAGTCTCTCATCATATTTAACATCTTCCATTGAATCGCTTTATGTAGACAATATGTTAACGACGGTCTAACGTTTTCCAAACATCTAACTTTTGATGAATTCTAGATTGAACAGAAGAATTTCTCGAGAAAATCCGCTCTGCAAAATAAGCCACTGGAAGGGCAAAATCAGCGCACTCTGTACAGTTCACTGCTCTGAACTTGGACCTGGACGGGCCATCTTCAGTGATAGTACGGGTCCCAGCATAGTTTCCATCCGTTTCTCTCTCACGTAGCTATCGTCCATGGTGGTGGTGTTTTTTAAAGCATATCGACGTACGTTAGGCCCATATCGTGAATCCAAACTCGTTGCCATCTGCGCATGTAGATGGTTGTTGTTAACCACAAAAACGTCCGCCCATCATTTAGGTGGTATTCTAAGACGGCATTTGCATTCTCTTGGAGTTCACTTCACTGTTTTTTTCGTCAATTTATCATCTGTTCTTCTTATTAAACGACCGGCCCATCCGTATTTTGCCATCGATGTGTACATTTCTGCATCATGAAGATGAGATATTTCAAAGACCGGATTTGCGCAAACCACCTAGGTGTTGCGTGTCGATTGAATTTCAGAAGACTTAGCGGAAATGCTTTATAGGTGGTACGCAGACTTCTTGAGGTGGTTGTAGTATGAGAGCACGTCTCTTTTGCTCAACAGAGCGCTAGGAGGACTATTGTATCAAAAAGATGAACACGGAGTTGGGGGCCAGGTATCTCGTCGCTGGTTCTTTAAGAGGGCACAAATGCGGCCCAATTGCTCTGCTTCCTCTGCCTAGTTCCTCATTCATGTTGTTCTCCATGTTCTTGAACATCCAAAGTACGCGTACGAAGTGGTCTCCTTGATTAGAGAACCATTCAATTCGATTTGTTTACCCCAACACCACGTATTTTCATGGAATGTGTCTTCGTCCTGCTTTGTGCGTAGCCTAATCTTTTCTCCCGCCTCGTTGAGTTCACTGAGCATCGTCTCTGCTTTACTGATGCTTTTTGAGGTGACGATGTCATCATTTTTCCAAACGGTAAGTACACTAAACATAAATAAGTCATCTAGATCAAGCATTTTAAGTAGCTGTCAGCACAAATGGGTTTGAGGCCAATATGCTTACTTAACTAAACCCATTGAAGATTGGTTAGCGACAGCTACGATGGGATATATCGAAGAAAGAGTGGCAGCAGGCGGGTGACATCGCTGGTGTAGTGGTAGCACGCGCTTCCGGTATGGATGGAACCCGCGTTCAACACTCGTCTGATGCCATGTTTTGCATACTATTCACTACTCTAAGAGTACTGTTAGACTCTCCAATACTCTCTTCAGCCTTTAATCGAAGCTTCCATTCAAAACCACAATATTGGATAAAAATCTTTTATAAATTGCCTCTCTGCTAGTATCACCCTCAATCGAGGAAGCAGAAACAAAACGTTCTGGGTTGTAGATCTAAATTATATCAGAACATGCGAACAGAGAGGAGCGCATGTGAAGCAATGGCTAGAGGTGCTCCGCGTTGCACACAAAACTGGGTGGTTCGACCTCGCGCTCATGATTCACCAGCCATCTATCCTCTGAGGTCGGTTAATCGGTATCAGGTTAGTCTCTGACCTGTCAGGGAGGATAAGCGGCACTGACTCGATACAGCGGTAGGTCACCGCGAGTCATTGTAAAAGGTCAAACATGCATTCAATCATCTAGACATAGTTAGAGATTGGAGGCGAATGCATGGTGCAATCCCTCAGGAATTGATCAAAACCATAAGCTTCATCCTTTATCTTTTTATGCCAGCAGTGAAGTCACTATGTACTGTTCTGAAGATGTTGAATTTTACTAAGTAAGATACGGTTTTTAAATTCTATCTCAATAATTTCAGATCATGAGATAAAGTTTGGAAACTAACCAAATACCACTATTTTTCTTTTTGACAGATTTCAAGCAACCATCGCTGTAAAAAAAAAATCAAATTAACAAGCACAGCTCTTGTAGATAACTGAATAGGAAATTTACGAACGATCGTATTACGATGAATTGACTAATTTTGACGGAAATGTTGAGTGCAGAAGTCGAGTTCAATCGACGTGTGAAATCGCAACCAAGAGTTCAACGCCCGTGAGAAATGTGATCTCACTCAAAAATTACCACGAACTTTTATGGTATCACTAGCCGTGCTGAACTACTCCATAGCTCGGTGGCAATCGTGGAAAGCGTTCAACAACAGTCTGTGCAACATTTTACATCGTGACACGTTCTTAAAAAGAAACATAGAAGTGCAAACGGATGAGCCTTTGGCCGAAGGGTGCCCAAACCACTGGTCACTAATCCTTTGCAACTATGTTCGATGAAGCGCTGAACTGCCGACAGTATCTGATAACACGACCGAAGGATCATCGAATCGTTTCCTCCTGATCTGGGAGAGCACGTTATTTAGAGCACACTTTCGGCACATGATTCACTATTCGGATCGCTCATTGTCTGCGAATCTATTTATAACAGCGACATCTAGTGGCAAGCCCATTTTTGAACATTTGGTCATAGCGGAATTAAGCCACTGGAATCGAAGTAACCACTTTATCCAGCGCGTAAAATCAATAGCATGCCACAGGCTATGAGATCACTTCACTCTACCACGCATGTCATTTGTCCTTCGCCATTTTCCAAAATAGGAATATCAAGCTGACTAAGAAAACTCGCCCGGCCTGATAATAGAAGTGTCGTTGATCCGTCATGTGAGTAACGCAGATAGCGAACTTGCAACAGACTTTTGTTCTTTTCGACGTGAGCAAACATGGCCACTCAATACAACTTTTCTGAACAGTGCAATTTTTACTTACTCGTGCTGTGGCACCGCTGTAAATCGAATTATTTATTTGACACGCAAAATTCCAGAAAGTTCATTGGTAGGTATAACACGCTATAGAGAATAAAGATGTACAGGCAATAACACAATGAGAAGAAGTAGCTGATACTGAATTATTGAGGGTTTATCCTATAATTACAAGTTATTCGTGAAACAACATTTCTCGATGAATAATTCATAGGATAAGAAAAACGCTTTCTTTCTCAACCCAAAAACTACATTCTACGCCGACACGCAAAAATCATGCATTTTCTTCGAATAGAAAAAATTGAAAAATTGAGAAAATTTTGATAACATGTGACTCACGCACATGTCCATACAAATCTAAGTCAAAGCAAATTCTATACGTTTGAAGTCCTGCTTCAAATTTCAAATGACCATACACAGTTTACACAAAGAAAATTCAACTTACAAAACCACAACAAAGATGGTTTTATAACAGCGATTCGAGATTTGAACAATGGCGAGACGAAAACCTCACAAGCCTAAGAAAGAGAAGAAACTATGTGAGAGTTACAACGTCACGAGTTTGCTATAACTGATGCTTTTCATTCAAAATGGACTAGTTCAAATAAATATTAGGATTATTCCAATTTGAACAATTTACAAGCAAGAATTGAAACGTTCTACAGTTTGATGCCATTCGTTTGACTCAAATGCTTCGCGGAAAATGTTTCCATTTCCTAAATCAATGACATTCATCACGTTTAATGCCACTGCCATTTGGATAAACTCATTCTGTCTATAAATCACTTAGATGTGACGACACGGGGAAATGGAGATCACAAAAAAACACGCACCTTAATGACTCCGTCCCAGCTAGGAAAGTGGTCGCAATCCGGAATATTCAGGAAATCGTGGAAGATTTTCTCCAGTAGCGGACGAACAACTAGGCGCCTTGAAACAGGACAGATGTGAAATGAGCTAGACGTTGGAAGTTCAGTAAATCCGCATCAATACAAATATCAATACATATGTGAGAACAGCGCAGCAGTAGTGATACCGATCACTGAGAACACGGTGCTGATTCGGCTCTGCCTCGGGTCCACCAAACCCATTCCCCGGGCTCAGGAAAGTGACATTAGTCATGTGGGAAAAGCTCATTCTATGCAATTTAAGTAGGAGCCTTATAATTCGGCTATTCAGGACTCCATGAAAAC